CTCTCCCATTCACCCTCACCCCTCTCCTTCCCTCTCCCTCTCCCTCTCCCTCCTCCCTCTCCTCTCCCACCCTCTCCGCTCTCCCGCAACCCTCTTCCCTCTCCCTCTCCCTCTCCCTCCTCCCTCTCCCTCTTTCCCTCTTCTTCCCTCTCTTTCTCTCTCTGTGTCCCATAAATATTGAACCTTAAATTACCCTATGCCTTTGAAGGTGACAGAAACATTTTTATTATCTACTTCTGTACAGAATGTAATACATATTCAAGTGCTATAGAAACTGATATCTGTAAAATATAATGGTTAGTTTTTTAAAGGTAAATAGATATTTGTTGACTACAAAGGGGGAATCCTGACAGCTGCATATGTGTTCATTTTCTGTTTCTATTCTTATTTCATGTCTGTTACTCTGCTCATGTTAATGTTGAGAAAGATAAAAAGGGAGTACCATGTACTTTGTGATGTTGAAGGTTGTTCAGGCTAAAAAGAAATACATTTCGCTTATTAGATTAGACCTCATATTGTGTAGGATAGTTAAAGGTATTGATAAATTGATGATTTGCAGGTAATGTAACAAATTTGCTACATTTTTATTATGTACAGAAGTAAGCAATGTTTTCTGTTTACTGTGCTGAATCCTCATGAAATACTCATAATGACATTATCTTTGTGCCATTTGAAAATCAAAATTTGTCTTTCTTTCTTTTTAGATTAATAGGTATTATTAAATATTTCTGATATGTTTAGATAATGATAATAATATTTCATTAGAAAAAAATGGATCTCATTAAATACTTTGACCTATTTCATAATAGAGTGAATAGTTATAGATATGTAGTGGCTTTTAACATCATCATCTATGTCACACATGGCTGTACAAAATAAAACAGTATCTTTATAATGATGTTTTCTTTACATGCTTGGTAAGATAAACTTTTACCCAATTTAGATTCCAGAACTGGACAACCTTTCTCTCCATTATTCATTATTTAATAATGATATTGTGATAATGAAGCTTGTTGCATATCTAAAGAAGGGCACACTGTGAATAAGAAAACTTTTTAAAAGTCTATATTCCTTACATGTTACCCATTTGTGAACAAGAAATAGGCTGACCTTAATTTCATTTCAGTATATAAAGTAACAAAGAGATTGATGTAATATATACATACACAGCAACTTCCAAACATCTTTTGCTTTATGCAGCTTACTCCTAGATTTATTAGAAACTAAAATTTTTGCTCTTATCACTAAGATGTGATTCTTTGTTTTTTTTACATTGAGTTTAGTATTTTTGCAGTTTTACTGCTGATTATTTTAGCTTTTGCTATACTGAGTTTGAAGATACTTTGTCTGCAAGTGTTACTGCTGCTTTCTTCAAAGTTTGTTCCCATAAATATGCTGGCCATCTCCTACAGATGGTTCGTGAGAGGGGGGGACCTGCCAAGACCCAGTCAAGCAGTAGCAAGTGCCACCAGTGCCCCCACTGCCCCTTCACCACTACCCAAGAAACACTCCTGTTTGAGCACTGCCTCACCCACAACTGGGAGAACCCCTTATCCTGTCCCCACTGCCAGTACAGACCGGCAGACGCCAGCCAGATGAAGAGGCATATGCGGATACATACTGGTGAGAAGCCTTATCTATGCCCACACTGCCCATATGAGACTGCAGATGGCAGTAATTTGAAGCGGCACATACGCACACATACAGGAGAGAAGCCTTACTCCTGCCCACACTGTCCCTATCAAACGGCAATGAAGGGAAATCTGAACAGACACATTCGAGGCCACATGGAAAAGGACAGTATTGGAGCCTTGCCAACAGCAGACCTCACTCACTTCCCGCCCATGCAGTGATTCATTTTATTTGTTGTACCTAATATGTTTATAAAATCTTAAATGCTGAAATGTATAGTGTTGTTTTTCATATCATGATTGACAATAACAAAGTAACCATAATTTTGAATACATGGATAAGTAATTGTGAATATTACTACTACTACAAATGATCATATTAGTTTGTTTAGAAAAGATATTTTGGTAAGTGTTACAATGTATTGATTATGTTGAACTCTGCTTGAAAAATTTATTAAAATATGTGATGATGATATATCTTTTTATTGTATATCCTTTTATTGTATGATTTAAAGATTAAAAAAAAAATCACTGATTATTTAACTTCTCCAAAATCAAGTTATTTCATGTTGTTATTGATATTAATAGTTTATTATGGCCTTATACTTTATTGTTTTTCTTGGTGTAGTGTCTGGTGTTATGATCTTTTTTACTGGTATTGTCATTATAGGTATCAAAATTGTTTTTAATATCATTGCTTTGATAAAAAGACTGTATAATGTCTATCATCTATCATTATTCTTTGTTTGTTTGTTTTCTTATTGTAATGTCTTCTTGTTATTAGTGTGTTATCAATGCAGTTATTATGCTGGCTTTTCATTCATTTGAGATTTTTTTTACATCCCTAATCTGGTCAGGAAGGTTTACCAAAACAGTAACGAAGAACAATGTCTTGTAATATTAAGGCCATTTTATCATCAATAGGCTTCATTGCTGTCCTTTTTGTCTTTTCACTTGCTGTCATTTTGTCCTTCACACTTCTTTAGTCACTATTATATTCTTGTGATGTTACTGTTTATTAAAAAACTATTAATATAATGTTGATTGGATAGGGCTGAACTCAGATGTTACATATCCTGTGATATATAGGAATGTGCACAAAGATGTAAAGTTAAAATATTCTCTATCCTCTTTACATCTGACTTTTTTTTCATATATATAATATATATATATATATATATATATATATATATATTATATATCATTATATATATTTATACATAATATATATATAAATAATTATATTATATATATAATATATATATATTAAATATATATATATATATATATAATTATATATATATTATATATATATTATATATAAATATATATATATATATTATATTATATTTTATATAATACATATATATAATATATATATATATATTATATATATCATTAAATATATATTTAATAAATGTATTATCATATATATGTATGTATATATATATATATTATATATATATATATTTATAAATATATATATATATATAATATATATACTTATCATGTGTGTGTGTGTTGTGTGTATATATATTATATTATATATGGTATATATATATATATATATATATTATTATATATATATATATATATATATATTATTATATATATATATATATGTGTGTGTGTGTGTGTGTGTGTGTGTGTGTGTGTGTGTGTGTGTGTGTGTTGTGTGTGTGTGTGTGTGTGTGGTGGTGTGGTGTGTGTGTGTGTGTGTGTGTGTGGTGTGTGTGTGTGTGTGTGTGTGTACTAGTATAGATATATTATAATATATATATATATATATATATAATATATATATATATATATTATATAATATAT